TTATTCAAAAATTAATATCTCGTTAAATATTGCGAATTTTGCAAAATGATAGAGGACTTTTCGATTCAGTTTAGTCCATTCTATTTACCCATAAGCGGTGATACACCTATTAAGAGACACCCTGTATATATATATGTATCACAAGTTTATAACACACGGCTGACACGGCTTTTTTGGCTTTGCTGCTCGTTGCTTTTGCTATTCGTTTGGCTGAACTTCAATAAGATGCGGCAAAATGTATTTTGCGCCGGAAGTGCGCCATCTAAGTAACATTTTTAACCAATAGTAATGAATTGCTGCGACTGCACACTGCGCATGGAAGAAATGGCACCTAAAGATGACACGTCCATTGGCTATCACATCACATTTTGCCGCGCGGCAAGCATTTCCGCGTTCAGTGTGCAGACAGTTCTCTGGTGCAGGTGCCTTGAGTGCACACTGGCACTGCACACAGTTTTCAATCCGAAAACTTTGATCGTTTTAAAGTCTCATGGGCTGCGGCTTCAGGAATTCACGATATATCATGTTATCCTTGTTATTTACCGAAATGTTAAACAAGGATAAAATGATATCTAGATGCACCTAGGTGAAGTTTCTGAACGCAGCCATGAACACAAGGCTTGATCTGTTTCTATCTTACTAGTTTACTACCCTGCTAACTGCTTCTGCAGCGCTCACTAATCCTTTTTCGTCGTTTCCGTTAATAGAACGTGTGGTTTGGAAACGTGATCTTTTCGTAATTAATTTTTATCTGCATTTTCTCTTAAAAATCCTCGAAAGTAATTATCAAAATGCCTCCTAAATTTGATCCAAATGAAATAAAGAAAGGTATTTTATTTATATTTTTTTGTATAGTATAAGTGAAAACTTTTATAATCTTTATAACCTAGAAAAAAGTGCTAAATTACTTATATTTTTTTCCATATCAGTATATTTACGATGCGTTGGTGGTGAAGTAGGAGCTACTTCGTCCCTTGCTCCTAAAATCGGTCCTCTTGGTTTGGTAAGTTTAAAAAGAATAGAAATTTTTAATGGAATATTCTATATTCTCTATTTAGATTATTTGTATGGCTTTCATTTAGTGTCCAATTCTGTCATTTATAATAATAATTCTTGTAAATTATAATTAAAATTTAAAATTAAAATTGTGATACAGCTTTTATAATAATAATTACAAATTTTTACTTTATTTTTACTAATTTTTATTTTGGCAAACAAATTGATTTTTTTTCAAGTTCTATGTGGCATTAATTTTAAGTAACTTGATCGCTATGGTATGGGTAACCAATGATTCACGCAACATGAATTGTGTTAATATTTAAGCAATTTTAATATAGTAAATTAACATTAAAGCAATTATCTATATTCTTATATAATTTTTAAATTGAGGAAACGTTTTTATTCTTTTTTTAGAGTTCAAAATGAACTAACATTTTGTAAAAGAAATATATTTTATAAAATTTCTTCTCTGATATGTAGTTTTGAAATATCTAGATTTATTTTAATTACATAAATTAATTACATATATAGAGAAGAATGTTTACAGTTGAAATGAAATATTTAAAAATTATGTTTTGAATAAAAATTTATATATTCTGGAGTAATTTTTAAAATGAATTATTCACAAATTTATAAATAGATAATTTTATTTTTCATGATTCTAAATAGAATTTAATGATTTCATTAAAAAATTTAATTTTATTGAAGATATTTTCTTAAATAAATTTTTTCTATATAATTGTAGATTGTGAAATGTGTTATTTTTTCAAATTGATTAAAAAGAGTACATAGTTAGCACAGTATATTAATAAAAAGCATTGATTATGTATATCATTATGCTTGTGTTCCGATATGCACTGCCAGTACTGAAAGTCTATAGTATATGTAATATACGTTATAGATTGATAGTACTGCCAGTGTCTACCGGAACACAGCCTACGTATTGATAATTATTTTAGTCTCCAAAAAAAGTTGGCGATGACATTGCCAAGGCTACCAGTGACTGGAAGGGTTTGAAAATCACAGTTCAGTTGACTATTCAAAACAGACAAGCTACGATCTCGGTTGTGCCATCTGCCGCTTCGTTGATAATTAAAGCTCTGAAAGAGCCACCCAGAGACCGTAAAAGGCAAAAGAACATCAAGCACAGTGGTAATTTGACATTTGACGATATTGTTTCTATTGCCCGTGCTATGAGATCAAGATCAATGTCACGAACACTCGGTGGTACCATCAAAGAAATCTTGGGCACATGTCAGTCCGTGGGATGTACTGTAGAAGGTAGACCACCTCATGATCTTATAGACGACATTAACGCTGGAGAACTGGAAGTTCCGGAAGAATAAATTTTGGTAGGTACAGAGCTCTTAGTTCACTTTTTTTCATTTTTGACATAATTTAACAAAATTTTAATGCTTACATATAAATATATATATATATATATATATATATATATATATATATATATGTATAATCATTATTTAATTTGTGATTTATTATTAATATAGTCTTGAAATTATTCAATTTTGATTTTAACTTAGTCACAATGAAAAGTTAACTTTGAGCTCTTGGTAGGGGTTGGCATCCCATCCACCTGTCTAACACTGACATTACTGAATTGTTGTGTGCTAGCAGGCATTTAGCCATTGAGGAGACAATCTCAATAAAAAAATCATGTTTTAATCATCTTTAATTTGCAATGTAAAAATATGTGTTTAATAAGTATCTTATGTTTGTTTTTACAGATATTGTAAGGTGCCGAAAATAAAAATACTTTAAAATGGAGTTAAAAATGTGTTGCAATTTCTTTAATTAACCACATATCTTTAATTAATCACATGTATATTATCTTATTTAGTTTTATTTTTCAAGTACACATGATACGTATTACATACACAATTATTAAATTGAGCATGATTAAAAAATTCTGCTTCAAAATATTTCACAAATTTGAAATATGAATAATTCTTTATAAGTTTCTGTAAAATAATGTTAGAAAGTTGATTAATTCTTTTAGAATTTCTTATCTGACAAATTACTTGGAATCTTTGCGATATAATAAAATAATGTATACAAATTTTATATATTTGTAGGATGTTAAAATGTCCCATAAAATTGTGTACTTCTCTTCAATTCGGTATATTTCTCTTTTAACTATTAAATATAAATGTATAGCAAATAATATTTACAAACTTCCTAAATACTTTAACAAGTGCAATTAGTAATGACTTGTTAACTGAAAGTTTATAAAAAAATTAAATTATAATTATTTTTATATTATCCTTAATCTTGTACTTCATTATCAATATTCATGAATTAATAATCTATTTACATATAATATATTTTTGTCATTTCTCATAATGATACAAAACGTTTTTGAGAAAAAGAGAATTCTTTTTTTATATGTTTAAAATATATACACATATTTTATTTGTTATTAAATTGCATCAAAATGCATATCTTGAGCTCAAATTGCAATATCAAAATCACAAAAAGATACTGGAAGAATTGGTAACGCAGAAATAAAGACTATTCTTGTACATTAATCATAGACGATATAAGTATAATAAAATAAGAAATCTATTAAGTTTATAAGTTCCTTTTTTGAATTTTTTTTAAATTATTGACCCAATACGTGACCTCTTCCCCAGTTATGTCCCCCAAATATATTTCTTCCTTGATTTTGTTGTTCTCCCGCTCTCTGTGCAGGTACATTGCCAAACGATCGGATTCCACTTCTTTGAGGTGGAAAATAACTTTCAAGTATCTTGGGGGTGTTGAGTAATTCTGGGCCACCAAGTTCCTGGGGATACTTGAATTTCAAGAAGACATACAGATGTCCTACTAGAATCCCAAACAATTCCATCATACCGCCACCGGAGATAATCAAATTAAATCCAAATAAGACCCATGGCAGATACATGGCTTTGAATTGTGTACCTGGCGACAGACATTGTTTGTATAAGCCAACATAATACAATTGCATCCTCGCAATATAATATTTGTAGAATTAAAAAGATAAATTGATTTAAAAGAGAGAAAGAGAGAGCATACCAAACCAGAAGTTTACAATGGCATCTTTATTCAGCTGACACCACACATACAACACACTAAGAACCATGGGGTCCATGAGCAGGGGGAAATCGCCGATGAGTCCGATGATAACGCAGCATATCCAATTGAACAGCAGAAGGAAACAATAATCCGCAGGCTTTCCGTCGTACTCTCCGCGCTCTAGTCTTAGTGAGTAATTGTACAAAAAGTAGCAGTTGATCAGCAAGTGAAAGCCGGTGCGCTGGCTGAGGGGATAGTAGAAGACACTCGTCACAGCCCGCCAGATTTCGAAGTTATTCAGAAATCGGTCAGGCCACAACACCAGCGAGTGCGGACTCAGAAAACCGAATCTGCCGAGTAATGTCAGTACCGCGGTACACAATAGCCAATATCTCGTGAATATCGGTAGGGAATTGAACCAGTCTCTTACATCCGACATTTTACGCGCGGTTCTTACAGTGCCTTTTGTGCTTAACAATAATCGCGCGTTACAATTAATCGCGAATCACAGCCAACGATTGTGGAATAATGATGTGCACGGATTACGATGTCCACGACAAGTGTTTTTTCCAGGTTACGTGTACGTTAACGTATGGCATAGGCATATACATAGGTTATAATCGTGGATAGCATAACACGCGTGCGCGGCGTGCGCACCATCAACCATGGCTGCGTTCCGCAAAGCGCATCATGCGCATGATGTATCATGGTATCCTTGTTGTTCACCAAATGTTAAACAAAGATAAAAAGATAAATCTTGCGCATGATGCGCTTTGCGGAACGCAGGCCATGTATGATGAGGCGAGATATGATGAGGCTTTGTTTTTAAATATGAATTTAATTTTGAAGGGGACGTAAAAATGGATCTCATTTTAATTTAGCGTGTTTTAACATTCGTATGTACTTGGCCGAACGAAATCGCTGGTCGGAAAAAATTATTATTTTAAATCGTTTGTACTTTTTATGAAGAAGTTTTTTAAAGTGTAATTCACAGATTTCTAAGAAAAAATATAATTAATTATAATGCAAGAAACAACAACAATCTCATAAACTTGACAGAACAACTATCACAAACCTTTTCAATTGCACCACAATTCTTAGAAATCTAAGAAATCTAATCTAATTTCGGTTAAATATATATATATGGTCCAAAAATATAATTATATACTATATATTATATAATTATATACTATATATTATATAATTATAATTATATACTATATAATTATAATTATATACTATAATACATCAAGAAACAACAATCTCAGAACAACTCACAAACCTTTTCAATTGCACCACAGATTTCTTAAAAATCTAAGAAATTTAATCTAATTTTTAAAAAATCTGTAGTGCAATTGAATTAAGGTTTGTGAGTTGTTCTGAATTTGTAAAATTGTTGTGTTATTTTTTGTAAAAAGTATAAAATTAATTATATTTTTGGACCTTGTATTTAGCCAAAATAATTAGCCGGAGGTAAATTAAATAAAGTATATATTTCATTAAATTTGTACTTCGTATATAAAAATCAAGTTAATGAAGTGATATATATTAAAAAGATTTTGTGAGTTATTGAGATAATTTTAATGAAATAATTAAATATCATGATATTTATAATAATTGATTGAAATATAGATTTCTATAGGCACTTATACTATTTCCAAAGTAGTTCCGATCGGTATTATAGTATCTCTCTAGTATTTCAGATATAGTAATTCATATTTTTCGGTCGTAAACAGGGGCTTTTTCTTGAAAAATTTTGCATACGAAAATTAATTAAACTATCATACAGTATGGAAGAGAAATCTATAAGTATAATATACGTATAACGTATACTATATATAATATAGTATTTTCGTACATTTTCGTATGCAATTAAAATTGTTTAAGAATAAGGTCCCTAGTTGCTTCAAAACCGCTAAGCTTTTATCACCTAGAAATTTGTAAGCTACCCGAGAAATGGCAAAAAGTCATAGATAATAATGGGAAATATTTTTAATTATTAAGCTTTTTTTTATATGTTCTTCAGATAAAGATTAAATTTTGCAATAAAAGCTAAAAACTTTCTGCTATATACACCATTTAATACATGGTTCAAAAATAATTAACTACAATTAACAGAACAACTCACAAACCTTTTCAATTGCACTTCAAAATTCTTGATAAAAATTATAATCGATTTAAAATAATAATTTTTTCAATCGGCGATTTTGCTCGGTTAAGTATAACTTACATATAATGTGAATAACTGTTTAGACTGGTAATTCAATTTTATACTCAAGATGCCTTAAGCATGATCTCGAAACTCTGTATGTACGGTATATTCAACTCATTGATTAAACTATGAGTCTAAATACTGCTCATGACCATCAAATTCATATCTTAACTTAGTCGCTAACAATTAATGATTTCTTAAACAATAGGTCTGTTACTTTTTATCTGAACTTTTTGCATTATTCAACTTTTCTCTTTAATAGGGAAAAAAAGAAGAAAGATGAACCGTGCACAAAAGAATCAGCTAAAAAGAATCCTTTCTCATTTTTTCGTTTCGCACAAAAATGCGTCGAATAAGCATAATTTCATCAAAATCAAAAGTGAGAACTAAATAATTACCAAATATTTATGGTTTTGTAATTTTCGATATTAAATGTAGCTTTAAATTCAAATTCTGTTTTCCGAATTACTTATGTATTATATTATAATGCACAATAAAAATAAAAATAAAATTGTATATTATCTTTATGTGTTCTTAATCATTTGAAATTTAAGCTCTAGAAATTTTTAATAAAAATTCCATTTCAGACATGTGTATATAAACAAATTTTATTTTAAGTTTTCATACATTATATTAGCTATGAATCGTCTTACATAAGCAAACATTAATTATACGAACAAACATATACATATAGTAAAAGATATTTATCTCACTTATACATAGAAAAAAATTAAAATTTTTTATTATAATAGAAAAGCAATCATGTTATTTTCATATTCATTAATTTTAAATAATAGCTTTGGTAATAATTTTATTTTCATAAATATACATTAATGGTAAGGGTCTAATAATTATTTTCAACGCTTGTGTGCATACAGAACGGATTAAATTGATCAGTAGAACAATCTTATAAGTTTATGCGAAAAAACAATCCAGTTTATACATGGAATGTGCAATGTCAGACTTCCTGTAATTCGAAAGTATAGTTATGTGCGAAAAAGATATACATGGAAGGCTTGTCAAGTTGATACATGCGTATAAAGAGAATGAGTAACACAAAATACACATACATATATATATATATATATATATATATATATATATATATAGATATAGATAATTTCAATCCAATATCTCCAAACCATTTATATATTATTCAGGTGGTTGCTGTTTTAAGTGCACCATTCTATATATATAAACATATATAAACTGACGGATATAGCTATGTTCCACTTTCATTGTCCTCGTCACACAGAAAATTTAAAAGCAAGAGTAATAAATAGTGTTTTCGACTGCAGTGAATTTTGATCGATCCGAAGTCGATTAATGACATCACATTCTGTACTTTGGTCTGATTGGATGAAATCCTGGTACTTTAAGGTTTTTGGTTTCGATCTCGATCAAAACCCACTGCATTGGAAAACGTTAAAAGATAAATGTCTGTGCACATGCTTCTCTCCCCCCTCTTTTTTTGTGGTCATGATGTACAGCTTTTTATAGAAGCACTCCTCACACTTCTAAACATCTCACTGCTCTCCTAGCAATCGAAACGCGTATAAAACTGAGCTGTTCGCGCAAACGCATGCTTATTCGTAAATCTTTATTATTTCATTAATTATTGCGAAAATCGCAAAATGATACAGGACTTTTATACTCATTGTCAGTTTAGTCCACTCTATCTGCACACGAAAGCGCTGTATAAGGTACTGGACAGGACGGAATTGAAACAGAACTGAACAGGATCAACACATTGCAATCGTAATGATTTCTCTGACAGAACAGAATTGAAAACCTTTTTACAGAATTGAAATAGTACATAAAATGTAAGCGCGCCAGATACGAAATTGTAGTAAAAACGAAAAAAATTTAAAATTACATTTTTTTGTCGTACAGTTATTATCTGACGTAAACGTTTCATTAGTATAAAAGTACTGTAGCTCATATGTACAAAATGTATCGCGCGTATCGGATTACGATGAACGAATAATAAAAGCCTTTTCAGCTACGATTGAAAGCGTAGAAAAAAAAAGAAATCATTACGACTGCAATTTATAGTAATTCGTATGCTTAGCTAAGATACAGAATGGTAAACAGAGCATCAATTGCGTCTAGCAGTAAGTGTTACAGTTTGCAAAAGATGGCTGCAATATGTTAGATAAGGGCAAATGTATGTGTTTGACGATATCGTAACAAATTGATTAAGATACTGAAATTGAAATCTGTTTTATCGACCTTGTGCGAGTTCAGCCGACCTGTCAGCATCGCCTTAATAATTATCAGATACCCTATGTATATCACGCGCGCGTCTTATTTAAATTCTATAATCACAGTTGCATTGAAAGAAGAAATTAAATTAACAAGCTCTCATGTACGCATATATAGATTATAATAAAGATTTTATTCATCCTGAAATTTTTTTAGAAACGTAATAAGTATTGCTATGTATTATTGGTTGAATCCGGTGGGAAATTTGACGTATCAATGAGGAGTTCTTCATTTATGTTCTGCTTTTCATCTGATTCGTATTCTTCGACGTCTTCACTTGAATCCGTTAAAGTTTGCGGCCCAGTAGATTTGTACTGAAATGCAGAATGCGATAAGTCTACTTCAACCGGGAATAATGTTACTGTTGATAATAAATCCCGTGTATTGGCGTAATATTTGGCTAGACCTGCCGCAAACTTGTGCAACTGCCACACAACATCTTGAACATGTTTATTGTCCAACAATTCCAACTTTACTAGCACGTCCGAACGAAGCTTTGCGAATCTCGCACGAGCTTCTTGTCGGCACCTCAGTACCAAACGATATTCATAATTGCCCGTTTCCACGCGATAAAGAGGCTCTTGTAGAGCGGCGCAGCTCTGCTCTTCGTCATCTAATTCTTTCACTTTCAAACAGTAGGACAGATATTCAAATTTTGCATCGGCGTACTTGCTAATGGTTAACCTTGTATCTGGTATGGCTTTGTTAAGATATGTTCCCAAGTCACTCAGTATTGGTTTCAGGGTCTTTAACATCATCATACCAAACTTTTCCATTTGTCTATGCTGCTCTCCAAATTGTCTAAAGGCCTCGCTGGCACGCGGCTGCGGTTCTCTAACTCCTATGGCGGCAAAAGCATCTCCAAATACTAAAAACAAAAAACAATTAAATGAGTAAATAATGTGTAATAATTCTGTGCTGCTTCTGATAATACTCGAAACTTTTATACCTTTATAAATTTGTGTTAGATCGAAAAAAGCATGTAATGTAGCTTTAGCATGCGTAACGAGACCTCTATAGAAATTTTCCGTGCGTTTTAACATCATCAATCTTTGGACAAGAGCATCATTACAAAGAATGGCTCGCGATAGTCCAAGTGCATCAGCCGTAGTGCTACCCATCCCTTCGACTAATCTATGCTTTACCTACAAAAACAGAAATTTAGTTATTATATGATTTTAACAGTGAAAATTATGTTTATATAATATACACACGCACATGCGCACGCACACACACACACACACGCGCGCGCACGCACACACACACACACACACACGCACGCACGCACGCACATATACACAAGGTGTTCCAAAATTCGCGAATCAAAATATCATAGCAAGAAAGTCTTCAAAAAATTAAGTAAAAAAGCAGTAGTTTTTGAGGTATAAATTTGACCAATTATAGATTACAATTAAATGGAAACATGTCCGTGAGTAGCGTGTCGATATTGTTGCGCACTTCACGCGTGTAATCTATAATTGGCTAAATTTAAACTCTTATATCTCAAAAACTACTGCTTAAAATAAAAATTTACAAATAACTTTTTTTACTTAATTTCGTAAAAAAAGTTATTTGTAAATTTTTATTTTAAGCAGTAGTTTTATATATATACCTTTTATATATATATATATAGTTATAGTTTATATATATATTTAGTTTATATATAGTTTACTATACTATAGTTTACTATAGTTAGTATTAGTTTAGTTTATATATATATATAGTTATAGTTTATAGTATATATATATATATATAGTTATAGTTTTATATATATATATATACCTATATATATAAATTTAGGTGTGTATTTATATACACACATAAACACAAACTCACCTTTTTTAGAGCGATATCGAGCGTACGACCTTGTTTTGGATCGGCATGTAATTTGTTATAATTAATACTGACTTGCGAATCGCAGGATTGTATCATTTTTGCAACCTCCACTTTAGTTTTACCCTTTACTGATGCTCCATTCACTGCCACAAGTTCATCGCCTGCTTGAAGAGTACCGTCTACAGCAACAGGTGTATTGTCGAAAATTTGTACAATATAAAGACATGGACAAAGTGGTGCGCCGCCGCCGATGCTTATACCGATTAGATTACTAGTATCTTTCTGTATTATGACATTCCCAGATGTAATTGTCATACCCTTGAAATTTAATTAAAAATATATAATATAACGTGATCTTTAAGTGTTAAATTTTTTAGAAAAAGTTGTTGAATATATAATAAAAAAAATACTTTAGTCTTTATAAATTTAAAATAAATATAAGTATTAAATAAAGAATCCATAGGTATATATATAATAAATAATTTTCTATGTGCTATAAAAATCATATTAATAAATTACTTGAAATATACATATATTAAATATTAATCGTATACATATTAATATTTCACAATTTACAAGAAACTTGTTTATACGAACCTACATCGTTGTCAGAGTGTGAATAATAAATAATTTCAATTTAAAAGATAAAATATGATATAATGAAATTCAATACATATTTACGCACGATACAGTTAAATTAATGTTTCAATCTGTGATGTGAATCCTCTTCAATGAATAAAGTTTCCCCATATGGTACCAATTCTTTCCTCTCACGCGACAGTCAGTCAATATGGTCATTAAATCAGAGTGAGTAATGTGAAAGTCCATAATTAAAATGTAAGTAGTTATTCTTACCATAAAGAAATTTTTAAAAATAAATTATAGATCAATAAATAAAATAAAATAAATAAATATAAAATAAATAATAACTTTAATTAATCGACTTAAGTAAAGAAAGAATCAGACACTGAAAAGGATCCATATCACGGATCGAGACGTTTGTGATTTAACTGTATCGTGTGTAAATATGTATTGAATTTCATTATATCATATTAATTGTATGGTGCGTAATTATGTACTGGATTTCATTATATCATATATATTTTATGTTTTAAACTAAAATTATTTATTCACGCTCTGACAACGGCGTAGGCTCATATAGGCAAGTTTTTCAAGTGAATTTTTTGATTTATTTGAGCCACATACATAGTATATTATTCTATATATTAATATTATTGAAATTAAATCACAAAAGTAATTTTATTTTAATCATTTTATACGTATATAAATAAAAATGTATGTAAATGGTGTATAAATATAGTACAAGCCGATAAAACAAATTTTTGTCAAGTAACTCGAAGTAAAATCACTAATCAAATTAGGTATTTCTTATAGATTTTCGATCCCGAGAAACAATGTCACTGACCAAATTGCTCAATCAGATTGCACAATCAAATTTTAAAGTTATTTTGAATTTTAAGAAAAATTAACAATTCGTAGAAAAAAAAGTATAACTGTCAATAAAGTAGTAAAAATAGATGGAATAAATTTTGACTTACATGTTCCTTATTCAAGGAATTAATACGTAAATATAAAATTTACTTACATTTTACTTTATTGATGCAAAGAATCAAAAGTTGTTTTACAAATAGTAAAAATGTGTGTTTGTTAAGAATACAGTATGTAGAAAAGCGATAGCAAAGCATAGAGAAGGCACTTCCACGTAATTCAAAATGAATAATGGTATAGATCCATTTGAAATTAATGCTGTTTTTAGCATAATGTAAGCCATTTAACTATAGATTTTTTTAAATGCAATTAAGAATTTAAAATATAATTTTCCAAGATATTTATTACTTAGATATAGACACATTCTTCCTATTAAAATGTCAAAATTTGAATGACTTATTTTCAAAAAATTAAAAATCGTTTTTCATATTAAAATTTAATAAAATATCTTTTATTCTGAAAAATTTGTTTTTAACAGCCATTTTAGAATTTTTTTCTATAGACTTTTAATAAAATATTAAGATTTTACGAAGAAAACGGAATTCGTACATTGAAATTTAACTATTTGTTCTCGCTAATTTTGCCAAATATAAAGAAAATGCTTTTACATTGTATTTTTGACAAATATTTTTGTTATTTGTGATAATTTTTATCCTTTGCTGCTAATAAAAAATTAATATGCAAATCAAATAATTCACCTATTTTTATTATTGACGGTTAGTGTATTATACATTTTTTCCTACGAATCGCTGATTTATTAAAATTAAAAACAATTTTAAAATCTGACTTAAAAGCAATTTAGCAACGGTAATGTTTTTGTTACCAAAAATCTATAAAAAACACCTATTCTGAGAGTTGATAAACATTTTTTTTATTAGTCTGTGTAATTAATAAAAATAGCAAAATTATACAAATAAAGCATAGCAAATTTTTTATAATCTATATGCAGGAAGTACATAAAAAATATTATATTTCATTATTATAAAATGTCTTATTAAAAATCAATTGATATAATTACATATTTTTATGCAAAAAATTATCACATAAATGTTTTATATTACATTCAAAAACTCATGAAAATTTGTTAACATTATCTAAATAAAATTGTATAAATATTTAATAATATCAATTTTATGCTATAATCTTAAGTTTTGATAAAAATTCAAATTAAATTAATTAATAAAAAATAACTGTTATATGTATTCTATTGGTTGTAGTATTCTTATAATTTTTTAAATAATATTCCTATAATATTTACATAATACCTTGGTGCTATTAACATTTTTCATGATGAAATGCTTAATACATAACAAAATTTACAAATAGTTGATGGGTTGCTGCTGTACATATCAATCTTGTGTAACCAATATTATATCTGGTCTAGGTTCCAAATATTGCAACAAAGTGAAATTTGGTATGAAAAAAGATAGAAGCAAAAAGAAGTATAAAAAATCAATATAATAGTGCATACATGCGATCTTCCATCACAGTCAGCTGATACGTTTCCATGCTAGCCGATGGTACGGTGGTCAGAGCGATAGACGTTTTATCCAAAGTTATAATTTCTTCAGACTTTGAAGCATGCTAGTATTTGCAAATGTTGTTGGAATAGTCGAATCGCTTGTTAAACTTTTCCACCGCACCGTGGCATTCAGACATGCATTTTACGACCAAAAAAAAAGCACATTAGGACTGTAATATAACATAACAAGATATAACAAATTATAATTTTAATGAACATTAATATTCACAATTAATCTTATACATAACCAACATTTTATCCTCTTCAAAAAAGAAATCATCTTCAAAGTCCATGCCCAAGCCAGTCATACTTGTTAATATCTGAAATATTGGTGATTGTTATTTACACATCCACATCGTTCCTTTTACAGTCTCTAATTTATTCAAAATGTTAAATTAAAGATAAAAATAAATGTTATATGCAAAAGTTATTACATTAAGTTATTATTTTAAGGTAACTCGAGATAAATCGATGTGCCTCTCATGCGTTTTCACATTTAAATAAAAAACCAGAGATAACAATATGTAATGACTGATAAAACACGACACCATGACAATTAACGTATGACCGTATCTCAACCTTTGAGTATATGAAGGTGGAATGCCTTTGTTCTTTGTAAGCCGCAAGTGAGTCCAAGGGTGCGTTCCGTATTAACGTCCGGAGTGTCCGGACGCATGGATCTAAGAATCTATGGATGGAGCGCAAGGCAATTCGATTGTTTAATCCGCGGTAAGGGAGGTGTAGTGCTGTCTCTTTCTCGGATAGAACCCCGTCGAGTGTTTTCGTTGTATACCCGATGATTCCCGAAAGACTAGATATTCGCTTAGAATATCCGCTTAGATAACCTTAGAGTCCTAGATTATCAGAGAAGCGCGACCGGTGTTACGAGTCCTGATTGGACACGCAAATGGCCAATCATAAGATTGATTTATCGCTATTATAAATGGCTGCCGAATAAATCAAACTTATGATTGGCCATTCGACGCCATTTTTAATATTTTCTAGTACTTTTGCGATACTACCATAAGCCGGTCGCGCTTCTCTGA